TTATTAACAAATATTTATTACTTATAATTTTCATAAACCCTCTTTTAGATACGGCTTAATGGTTACTAGATTTTTTTTAAAATACTACAGGCACAGAAGGAATGAATGTTGGCATCCAAATAACACCAGAAGAAATGAATGCCTGGGTTCAACAGGCATATTCTGGGAATTTAGTCTTTTCTTAAACCTAATTGCTTTCATTCTAAAAATCATATTTTTTTCTTGAAGGAATATTTTCAACTTGAATGTGTAGTGACTGAAGTTTTTCTTGTAGTGGCTACCTACAATATTTAATATTGCGCCAAGCATCCTGCTGTTTTAAGGGTGTGTTACAACTATGTGTTTCAAAAAATAATGGTTAAGATTAAGTGTTAGGGCAAAAGGGAAATCAATCAGTTCTTACAAAAGAAAACAGGAGATAGATTTGAGAAAGTTTTTCTAGAATATATAGCAACTGAAGAGCCAAAGAGGACTTCAATAAGAAGGCAGAAAATATTCTTTAATATGCCAAGGAAGATTTCATCAAGAAGGTCGATAAAGCACTCTTTAACATGAAGTTGACTCAAAAAACACTTTTAAAATGATATCCAGTGGCTTAGAATGATACCTTTTCACATCTGCCTAGCACAGAAATACTGAACTGTCTTTAACAATCATTTTTATAATCCTATCAAAGAAATCTAGCAAAATAATGCAATGATTCCAGAAAGATGCATTAATGTACAATAAAGAATACGCTAATATGCAAATAGGCAAGCCTGATAACTGCAGGGAAGGGAACAAAACTAAACTGGAGTCTATCAAACTTTCAAATGAGTTGTTTTCCTCTGAGTTTTAATGATGAAACTTTAAAAGCATATAACACTACCCAATAAGTAGCAAATACTACGTTAGATACAGAGCCCTGTTAAGAAACATTAGCGGTAATTTTCAACTCATTAAAAATTTGAGTAAATATATACAGTGTTAAGAAAACATAATAAAGTAGCAATTTTAATGATGACAAAAATCAAACTTAAAATGAAAAGCATTATAAGAAAGATTATTAATAAAAAGAAATGATGATTATAAGCATATATGCAGCTAACAATACAAAATATATATTACAAGCACTGACAAAGCTACAGGTAGAAACATAATAATCAGAAAGTACGGCTGTCTATTTTAAATTACCTCTCACAAAATAACAGATTAAGTGGACAAAAGCTACTTGGAAACAAGAGATTTCTAGTATATATAAGAAATAAGCTTGGTCAAATATATAGAATTTTATACCAAGTATGAACTAAACATTCTTCTTAAGCACATATGGAATATTTCCCATAAACTAAAGATTCAAAAGAAGCCTCAAATTCTAAAGACTCAAGATCTAACAGACTATACTCTCAAACCACACTGCAACAAAATTTGAAGTAACAAGAAGACAGTTTACAATATCCCAAGCCTGGAAGCAAGAAATAATTAGCAAAATAATCTTTAACAGCAAGAAACAGCAATCTTTAACAGCAAGAAAACTATGCTTTTGAACACATTAGGAGACAAACACTGAAAACAAAAGAGCTAATCTTTCCACTCAAAAAGATAAAAAAAGAAGTGCAAATGCAAAGAAACAAGGAAGAATACATGTGGACACACATCACTAAAACAGAGAACAAAAAAATAGCAAAGAATATTAAGAAAACCAAAAGCTGGTTCTTCGAAGAAAATACTAAAAGACAAACCTCTGGCAAAACCAAGCAAGGGAAGATGGTGATGCAAATTAACAAAACATGAAATAAAAAGTGAAATAA